AAGTATGGGCTGTGTCTCAGGACTAAGAGTCTTGGAAGAGAATTGATTTGCTAAAGCTGAAATCCTCTAGGGCTCAAACACTCCAATACAGTATTTGCAGTCCTGGGGATAATGGTTAGACATAAGAATGTGAAACAAAGTTATAACCTTGTATCCCAAGCAGAGCAGTCTGAGTCAAGTGCAAAAACTTGGAAAACTGATGAGAGGACATGATGGAACAAGTTTTTATCTATGGCAGAATGAGGGCCAAATCCAAAGTACTGTGATAGTGAATTATATGGATATTTGGTTCTCTCTCTCCTCTAACCCCTTTTGGACAGAATAAGTCCCCAGGAGTCTTGAAGACAGAAGGGGTGGAGAAGTAGATATATCATACTGGCATGTGAGTGCTTCTGTGGTTAACTAGAATTTTTTTTTACATTACACCTCAACTGATAAAGGGGGTCATACTATTTACACATTTGAACAATCATTATAGTTGCCACCTTTCTCAATTCTAAGAGGTGGGGCAGGAAATGTTTACTTGGGAAAAAGAGCTGTTTTTCATAGATATCAAGAGCTAACCAGGAAAATTTATCACTGGAAGGAAAGCAAACACAATGGTTCCAGTTTAAATTCCTATCCTGTTTACTATCTCCTCATAGCACCCTTGCCTTGGCTCCAAAATGAGACTGCCACACCTCTTTCCTAAGCTACTTAAAAATTAGAGAAAAGTAGACGAGCTCCAGAGTTGTACCAGTTGTTGCTTTCTGGTGATAAACCCACACTTGAATTAGCCAGTTAAAACCACTGGCTTAAATGGCATAGAGGCTCCATGCTGAAGTTGGAGGCAGCTTAGTCTGGTTCAGGAGCACCCAGACCAGGGCCAGAATCACTATTTTGTTGTTCCCATAAAATATATGGTGTCCTTGTACTTAAATGTATCTTCTTGGTAAACCAGACCTAAACCACATGCATGTTTAAGCCGATACATAATAGGGACGATACTATATTGGAGAAAACAATGGGAACCATGTACAGATTTTCCATCAAAACTGTCATTGTCATCGCAGCCTGGTTAAAGCCAGAATTTTGAAAAAGGCAAGACAGTTTCTTACATTAATTTTATCCTTTGAAAAAGTAATTATAGAGATTTCTCAACCCCAAATCACTGAATGTTAAGAAGCTAAGCCAAGGTAATAGTAGATCCTTGTGTTAGCTTTACTGAAATACCTTCCCAGCTAGAAAATGGAGGAGTGTTTTCTTATTGGAAGAATGAACCTTTTATTGCTAGTCTACATTTTTCCAATTCTGTTAAATTGTTTGAAGTATGGGGGAAGACCTGGATGCGTTCCCCTGTATAATTGTATTTTGTTGGAAGAAAAAGGGCTTGATTCGAGTAAAATGTGGTCAGTCTGAAACAGATTTTGCCAGGGTAGGAAAAATTCAATGTTAAATGATATTTTGATCACTGTGGAGACTTTAAGATAAAGACTAGCTTTTGGAGGCATAAGAGAGGACCAATGGCCCCTATGGCTGAAATTTTGGTATTACTTTAACATTGCAGATTGATACAACAGTTAAGGAATATTTTCTTGAGTTTTTGTTGTTGTTGTTATTGTTGCTGTCACTGAGGATCAAAGTAATCAAAGTAGTGGAATGAATAGAGCAGAGATTTTAAATATTTAAATTCTAGTTCTAGTTCAACTATGACCTTAGGAAGATAATTTCCCAAATTTGACCTCAATTTCTCATCTGAAAAATTAAGAAAATGTACTAAAAGTCAGTAATCCTTTGTGTCTTTGTCTTCCACAATATTAATGAAGTTAGTTCATAAAGACAAGATTTGTCATGGGCTATATTGGAGTCATTGAATTCTCAGTGGCCTAACTTTAATTCTATCCTTTTCTTTCTATCTCAAGAAGACATATTACAATACATGCAAAGAAGAGTGACTTTATTTTCACAAAACTCTTGAATCTGATCCTACTAATTTGAAAAAAGCACGGATTATTTCTAAATGTCTTTATTATTAACAACAATAATAATTTAACAAAAAATTGCTTGAAACCTTTCTCATTGTTGCTACATACTCCCTTGTGGTATAAATTACTATTGGTAATCAGTGACTAGGTGGTTTCTAAAATGTTGTGATATTTTCCTCATCTGAAAGTTGAAGAATGAGAAGATGATTAGCTTTTTGCAGACCTACTATTAAAGGACTGGAAATACAAAACTGTGAAAAATCTATGGTTGCCTCTATTTCTTTTATCTTAGTTAAATTACTATATTATTAAAAATAAAAAAACTAGAAATAAAACCCAAATTCTACTGTTGACTAAGGGAAACATTATGATTTCATTCCATTCCTGGTTTCATGCTTTATACTTAAAGTTTTCTGAAGTCAAGAAATATGTTTTTAAAAAGCCATTCATTTTTAGTTATGAAAGAAAATGTGAATAATTAAAGGGGACTGTTTTATCTTCTCTATGTAAAAACATGGATGGACTATAATTGCTTCATCTGTGTCCATGTGTGTATAGATGGGCATCAGTGTTGGATGAAAGGAATATAATGATTTATGTAAGTCCATAGAGAGGTCTGGAATGAAATACCTGAAAACCAGTCACCACTAGCTCAAATCCATAACCTCCACAGAATTGGGTGGCTTAGCTCAATATTCTCTGAGGAAATTTCTATTTGTGAGATTAAATTGAACTGCACTTACAAATTTTTCTTCTCTGATAAAGAGATTTTTTAGTGGTTTCTTTAAAAGATGTAAGTGGTTTCCCTAATAGGCAACAAATCATAGGACACTGTCTATTATCCAAACGCAGCCAGGCTCTAGAGCCTTGTTTTTAAGATGAAAAGCCTATGGATTGGGTGTTTTCAGTAATCGTGGTGTCTGATCCTATGGATTTTGTAAAAAAAAAATATAATAATTGACTAAAAATTATTGATCCACGAGCCAGTGTGGATAAATAATAGCTCAAACCCTAACTACATATTTCCTATTACTCTTTAGTGGTAAACTCACATGGTAGGTTTTGTAACAAGGACTTTCCACTTTTCCCAAGAGAAATGGGTGAGGGGGGAGGGGGTTGGAATATTAGTAAATATCAAAAAGCCCAAATATTTTGAAGAGGTTTTGCAAAAATTTAACCTTTGATAATTACTTTTAATGAATATGTTTCATCCTTTTTATTTTTTAATTTTTTTAAAATTCTCACTTGGTTTTTAGAGAGAGTGGAAGGGAAGGAGAGAGACAGAGAGAGAGAAACATCAAAGTCAGAGAGACACATTGATTGGTTGCCTCCTGCACGCACCCCAACCAGGGCCAGGGATCGAGCCTGCAACCCAGGTACGTACCCTTGACTGGAATTGAACCTGGGACCCTTCAGTCTGAGAGCTGATGCTCTATCCACTGAGCAAAACTGGCCAGGGCATTGAAAATCTTACTGTACTTTTCAAAGGAGAATGTAAGTTTAAGTTCCAAGCTTTGGAACTTTTTTCATTCAGTTGATTGCCTTCAGCTCAGTGATGATTCTTTTTTCAAAACAGTGGAATAAAATTTCATCACATTTTTATATGATGTAACTCAGTGAGATGGAATAATAAAATAATGGACATTTGTCATTTTACAGTTTTCTTACTGGTTATCAGTAGATTGTGACTTCATGTGTCTGGAATGAAACATCTTATTTACCTTATTTACCACTGTATCTCTAACACCTTGCCTGTGGCACAAAGTAAGTGCTCAATACATATTTAGTAAATGAATGATTGAACTACTCTTTTGTGGAAGCAGAACAGATATTATTCTTTTTCCCATTTCATAAGTGAATTGACATCACAGAAACATTTAGTGACTTGCTCAAGTTCATATAACCAACAAGTGGTGGTGCCAGGCCTTGAACCTAGTTCTTGAGACCCAAAAACCTGAGCTTTCCTTCAGATTCTTGGATATATGGTATAATTCTGATAGTAATTGGTAAACCCCATAATCTCTCTGGACTTCATTTACTTTATCTGTATATTAAGAGAAGGCATTATTCTGTGGCTCTGAGGTACCACTTAGGTCTAATACTAAGGACTTAATTTACAGTATTATTAACAATCACATTCTATCTTCTGAGAGTTTTATATTCACCAAAGAAGTGATGAAGTCCAGAGAGCTCCGAACTGTGAGGTGACCCAGAGAAGGGGGAAGAAACTTCAGACTAGACTCTTACTCCTTTAAGAAATCAGTAAAGTTGTTTTAAGGTTGGTTTAGGTTGTAAAGAGGCCCTGGGGAAATTCTGTCTGATTGTTAACATGTTATAGATACTCTAGAAACTTTCTGGCAACAAAGTCCATATTTAATTACCTTACTTACACAGCTAGCTCAACACCCTTGTCTCCTTCCCCACCATTTTCCACCTTGTGCTCTATGGCTGTAAGCTGGGTGTAGCTTTTATAATGAATCCAGTGGAGACAGCCTCCTTTGCACATGCTACCAAGAATTTCAGGAATAGATATCAAACTTGGATTTTATTTTTAAAAGAATTATTTTCCTCATCACACATAAGGCTCCTTTACAGCAGCTTTGTAAATGTTAATCTAGTTGCAATTTGGAGTCTGTTCTTTTAAAGGAGTGATTAATCCCCATGTACTACACTGATTTATTGTTTTCAAGCGAACCTGAATACAAACTGAAGCCCCTGTGTAAATTAGTTCCTCTAATTTTCTTCAGCCAGTTGTTCATTTAGAATGTACACAAACAGAAGATGTCAAGAACATTTAGTCTGTTATATCTGCCGCAGTTAGCTCCCCCTCCGCCCCCCAAAACAAGATGAAATCTGATTACAGAGGACTGAGCAATGAAAGCTCAACTGGAATTAGAGACAGCTGTCTCTAAGGGTCAAACCTGGCAATACACCCTGCAGAAAGAGACCTTTTGAGCTGCACTCCTCTGCAGAATAAAGTCCATTTATCAACATGGTTCCTAAATCAGACTCAAAACTCTGGCCATTGTCACTTACCGAAAATTTCGAACCACAAACCTCTGACCATTTCTAAGAGCTGCATTGTTCAACAGGATCCTCAAATTAAACAGCATCTTCTTTTGCTAGTGGAAAGGACGATTCTATGCACCTGAAAATGCTTCACCAAAGTAGTCAGTGGGGTCCACACAAAAGCTAAGAATGCTTTTGATTGCAGTGAGAGAGCAAAGGTAATATTATCCTTCAACTACCTTATCAAATCCCTCTGTTTAGAGATACTGCAGGGCAGAGTTCAGGGGTATTTGAACTTTAAGCCAAGCTTCACCACCACTGTGGGGTTGTTGGGTTTTTTGGGTTTTTTTTAGAAAAAATCCTGACTCTTTTGGTGCCCAGACTCCTCATTTTTATAATATATTTATGCTGTCACATACTTATACAAAATCAATTGATAACTCACTGAGCATGTAATATATGCAAGGCACTGCAGTGCTAGCTGGTGTGAAGGCACATATAAATAACTCATTCAGAAAAGTGTGAATTGGCAGTGTCAAAAGCCAGAGGTAGACATGATAGCCCTCAATATTTCCAGTGATATCATCTTCCTATCTTTAATCCCAAGCCTTTACACAAAAACAAATAGAAAGAAGTACAGGAAGAAGTGCCCTGGAAGCTTTTAGTTTTAACTTTTTATTTTATTTTATTTTATTTTATTTTATTTTATTTTATTTTTTTCATGGCAAGAAGCTGGAGGTCCCATTATGTCTTGCACATAGTAGGTCTTCAATAAATCAGTAGATGACTGTTAATTATAGCAGGACCTCAGAATCAGTAGAAGTGGAGAGGTTAGTTCCATATGCTTCTCCTCTCCAGGTCACTAAGGGGCCATCCAAAGCTTCACATTAATTCCTCCACCTACACTTACAAATTGGATGTTTTCAAAATCTATTCTGTGTTAGATACTTGTTAGGCTAGAATTTCAGAGGATGAAGATGATCTCACCTTTGCAGAATTTACAGTCAATTAGGGTGTTAAGATTTGTAACTAAATAGCAATAACATAAGCCCATAGAAGAGGTCCAGAGGAAGTGCTACCACGTCATAGGAAAGGGGAAATGCTCTAAGCTGGAAAGGGAAGGAGTCAGTGGAAGAGGGAAAGGGGTGGGGGCTGCCTCTTCTGGTCAATTTATTAAACTTTTGCAGAGGAAGGAAGAAATAGGGTGTGTGGAGTAGCAACAAATGATTCACAATTGGAAGTATGGATCAATCCCATCATTGACCATTTAAATGAAGCCATGCCATGACCAAGTAAATTATTTAAAACACACACACACACACACACACACACACACACACACACACACCCCAAAAAAATAAAACAGAAAACCATGAGTGTCTACGTCTTATTCATATCCCCTTTGCATTGTCTTCCCCTACATACCTTCCAAGTCTTATGCAAGCGACCACAGCTATCTATCTACCTGAGGATAAACTCCCCATACTTCTCACCCTTGTATGGGTAACCATAAGGCATGTTTTACTCACTCTCCCAAAAATCTCCAGTGGAAATGAACCTCAATTGCCCACAGTAGAAACCTGCTCATCAATGTGCTCTGTATTGCCCTAGCTGGCTTGGCTCAGTGGATAGAGTGTTGGCTTGCGGACTGAAAGGTCTCAGGTTTGATTCCGGTCAGGGCACAGGCCTGGGTTGTGGGCTTGATCCCCAGTGTGGGGCGAGCAGGAGGCAGCCAATCAATGATCCTCTCTCATCATTGATGTTTCTATCTCTCTTTCTCCCTCTCCCTTCCTCTTTGAAATCAATAAAAATATATTTTTTAAAATGTGCCCTGTATTAGCTGTCTTCCCTTCATAGTGTCACTTCCCTCACTCCCCTACCAGTGCTTCTTTGGATTATCTTCCCAATAAACCACTTGAACTCAAATCCCTTTATCACTGTATGCTTCTGAGGGAACTCAATCTTTGCCCAGGTCTACCTTCTCAACATTTTGACTTATTTGTCTTGTGTAAAAGTTCCTACTATGCCATGGTCAGCTTTAAGCTACCATAGTGACATCACTGAACACAGAGTTGGGAAGAGAGGTGTAAGACTGGCTCTTGCAAGCCATTGTGAGCTGGCTCTAGTACATCACTGACTAAAACCTCCATCCAGAAAGGAGGATTTTCTCAAGATTCGAAAGGAATAGTGGAGTCAGATTGTTGAGGGCCTTAGAAAGCCATATAATGGAGTTACAAATTTAATCTATAGTCAAAGAAATATTAATAAAGTTTTAGGGGCAGACAAGGATATGTCATTATCTGCATTGTGTTTTCAAAACACTAAGAGCACCGTTGTGTAAGAAGTACAATTGGGGGAAAATGTGCCTGAGCATATATTGATGCTGTGGAAATAGAAAGCAGGGGATGGATGCAAGAGAGATTTAGGGATTAGAATTCACCTATCAGAACAGTTGATTGGATGTTGAAGGAAGGGAGATGGAAAAGTTAATGAGACTCCAGGATTTTAAGTTTGTGCTATCACATTTGAGTCTAAAATTCCAAATAGCCAAGTTGGGGGATAAAAACAATGTGAGTGTCCTGCCATATAAAGCTTGTGAGCATCATTATAGACTTGCAATATTTCTTTGAAATTGCTACTGTGTCTCCCTAGTGAAATCTAAGCACTTAAGAGGGAATCAATGTGATGTGAAGGAAAGAATTATGAGAAGGATGTTTGAAGGTCTAATGTGACCTCTGGCTGGGTCACTAACTGATGGTCAATTTGTCTAAGTCACTTGACTCCTCTAAGATCCTCAGAGTCCTCATCTCTTCAACTAAAGATTTTATAGATGAGATATTACACTGCTTGGGAAACTTTAACATGCTCACCAAACATGAAGTACAGTGTCTAAAAGCCTCAACATGGATATTGCCAAAGATCTATCGCCAATCTGAGCTCTGTACAAATAAGACATACTAGTATTGTTGTTACTGTAGTGAGCTCTGTTTATCTCAGAATGTTGCTAATTACTTAAGTACTTTTTATAGCTGCCTGTCTGGAGTCTTTAAGACCCTGAGAAATCAAAGCATTCACACTTTAGTTACAAGCTCTGTGAGATTGTTGCTGGTGATCTATCTTCCACTGGATATGAACAGGGAAGCACATATTCCTGTCTGAGACCAGTAGCCATACTGTAATCATGAAGAGAAGCAGCCTTAGAATGAAGCTGTGATTTGACAGAGTGGAAGAAGGAAGAAACCTTGGTCATTTATTACATCATTTAGTTGCAAAATCAACCAACCTCATGACTCTCCTAACCACTGGACACCTTGTTATATAAAATAATAAATGTCCTTTTCCTTTAAGTCACTCTGAATTGGTGTTTTTGTTACTTGCAACAAAATACATGCTGATACATAATTTAGCTTAGGTTTTTGAAGGTTTATTTCTCATGTAACAACAGATAGAAAATGATGTCCTTCAGAGATGTGGTTCTAGTTCAAAACCTATCATTTATTCATTGAATGACATTGGGCAATCCAGTTTCTTTATCTGTAAATGGAAACAATATTCTCATTATCCCCTTTTAAAATATATTTTGGTTAGATTAATATACTTAATATGTTTTGTTGTTTTTAATTTTTAGGATGGATTATATGGTAAGAATATGTATACCTTTAGAAGAAATAGCCAAAATATTTTCCAGAGTGGCTATATTATTTTATAGTTCTCTCAGGAATGTATGAGGGTTCTAATTGCTCTGAATCCTCATCAGCACTTGGAATTATTAATGTTTTTCATATAGGTATGTAGTAGTTTTTAGTTGTGGTTTTAGTTTGTATTTTCTTAAAGACTAACAATTTTAAGCATCTTTCTTTGTGTTTATATGCCATCCATATATCCTCTTTGGTGAAGTGTCTGTTAAATCATTTGCCAAATTAATTTTTTTAATTTTTAGGCCTAATCAAATTCTTTTTCATTTTAAATCTTTATTGTTGAGAGTATTACAGATGTCCCTCTTTTTTCCCCCACTGTCCCCCTCTACCCAGTTTCTGCCCCACCCTGAGCCTTCACCACCTTATTGTCTGTGTCCATAGATAATGCATATATGCATATATGCATATATGTTCTTTGGTAATCTCTTTCCATCCCCTAACCCCCCTTACCTCTGAGATTCATCAGTCTGTTCCATGTTTCCATACCTCTGGTTCTATTTTATTCATTGGTTTATTTTTTCATTAGATTTCTTGTTCATTTATTTTGATTTTTTGATTCAATTGTTGATAGATATGTATTTATTTCCACTTTATTGTTCATAATTTTTATCTATTTCTTAAAGAATACCCTTCAACATTTCATGTATTACTGGTTTGGTGGCGATGAACTCTTTTAGCTTTTTCTTGTCTGTGAAGCTCTTTATCTTACCTTCACTTCTAAAGAGAGCTTTGCTGGGTAGAGTAATCTTGGTTGTAGGTTTTTGCTATTCATCACTTTGAATATTTCTTGCCACTCCCTTCTGGTCTGCAAAGTTTCTCTTGAGAAAGCAGCTGTGCTCCCTTGTAGGTAACTAACTACTTTTCTCTTATAGCTTTTAAGACTCTTTTTTTTCTTTAACCCTTGGCATTTTAATTATGATGTGTCTTGGTGTGAGCCTCTTTGGGTTCCTCTTATTTGGGACTGTCCGTGATTCCTGGACTTGTAAGTCTATTTCTTTCACCAGGTAGGGGACGTTTTCTGTCATTATTTCTTCAAATAGGTTTTCAATATCTTGCTCTCTCTCTTCTTCTGCGCCCCCTCCCACCCCATAATGCAAGTGTAGGTACACTTGAAGTTGTCCCAGATGCTCCTTACACTATCTTCATATTTTTGGGTTCTTTTTTTCTTTTTGCTCTTCTGGTTGGGTGTTTTTTTCTTCCTCACATTCTAAATTGCTTATTTGATTCTTGGAATCCTCTACTCTACTGTTGAATCCTTGTAAATTATTCTTTATTTCAGTTAGTGTATGCTTAATTTCTGACTGGTCCTTTTTCATGTCTTTGACATTCTCACTAAGATCCTTCAAAGTCTCACTAAGTCCCTTGACACTCTCATTAATTCTCTTGAAGCTCTCATTAAGTCCCTT